AGTAGTAGTTTTAGTATATAACTAGGATTTGCGTCCGTGCGTTGCACGGAATGAATTTGTTATAATATTTTAAAAATATTTAGATCGATATACAATTGTATAAATTATAACATCAAATATTATATAATATAATTGAAGAATTGAGTTGCACTGATTATGTTTTCTGATGTTATCAATGCTTGAATTCGAGTAAATAATTGTCCAATTAATAGCTAACGTGTAGATATATGCATTCGATGCTGCAACTTTAGAGATTTTATATATCAGTGTTTAGAATTTGTATTAATTGGGCTAATTAGCTCGTTCTCTAGCAACTCAGTTATAGAAATTATTTATACGGAAGATACATTTTCTATGTAGATATATAGTAATTTTGTTATCTTTGCATATAAAAAAACATAATATCAATGGCTTGAATTATACATTATTGAAAATCTCTTTGTAGACGACATTGGTAGTAGTAACAGAATTTTATCCATCCTCGTTTAGAGTTAAAACCATCAGACCATCAGGATGGGATGACTCGAGAAAAAGTCACATACAATTAACCGTGATTAAAGACTGTTTTTTTCAGTAATAACTCAACATGAGTTAGTGTTTGACCATGACTTTTGTTGATAGTCATGGCATATGCGAGCATCAACGTGAATTGTTTTCGTTAGAACTTGAAGGGCAATCTCGTATCAGAAGGGTGAAAGACATTTTAATTGAAGATTTTACTTTTATTAATAGTATAAATATAGATGGGTGTAAATAATAATTAATAAATTATTATTTCCTTATAAAATTACATAGAATTTCAAATGGATTTTCTCATTTATTACGCAGAATTTGTTTCCGTTATTCTCACAATTATAATGATTTAGTTATTCTCAGAATTTGATAACCATTTTCCATTTTTAAGTACATATTTGTTGAATTGCATGTTTGTCTGCAGGCCTTTAACTCATGGAAAACAGTAATAAAGAGTAATAATAGCGAGAAGAAGAAGAATAAAGAACATAGAAAAGTAATTCTTATTATCATTCGGGGAAGAAACTTTGTACAACATTACAATGGTATATATAACATCTCTATCATAATAGCTTTCAGGACTCTTACAGTATTAGGACTCCTACAGTATCAAGAATCCTATCATCAATAAAATAATGTCCACATAAGGTTTTACAACACTCCCCCTTGGACATTATTTTGCCATAATCATGCCTCGTTAAAAACTTGCTAGGAAAACCTTGTGGGAAAAACTTGGACAAGAAAAGAGTACAATAGAAAATATATTCATGTCTCATTAAAAAGTTCACTAGGAAAACCACGTGGGAAAAACCTAGTTGAAGAAAAGAGTACATGATATATGTAAAACATATATTGTATTGGTCGCCTCATTAAAAACCTTAACTTAAGAAAACCCTGTGGGAAAAACTTAGTTAAGGGAAAAAGAGTACAACCATAAGCTTTTAGGGTACAATCGGTATAATCTTCAGGATTTTGGGGTTTGTTTACTTCTTCACATTTACATTACTATATGATACTCATGACTCGTTAAAAACCTCACTATAAAAACCCAGTGGGAAAAATTAATCGAGGAAAAGAGTGCATGATGTATGTGTATTCTTTAGATTAACTGCCTCTTTAAAAACCTTAGATTTAAGGAAAAAACCCCGTGGGGAAAAACACTAAGGAAAAGAGTACAACTGTTAGTCGTCAAGACCCAATCTTCAGGATTGTAAAATGATACTCCCCCTCAAGAAGACAATCTTCAAATCCACACATAAAATATATATCCAAAGTTGTAGAAATGGATTAGTCAAATCTTCTGGATTGTCACTAGAGTGAATATTCTGCACAATAATTTTGTGACTCTTCTAGAGCTCGTATTGGTTGAATTTTGACGCTATATATGCTTTGTCAAATATTCTTTAACATACTCATATATCATTTGTGCAACTCAGGAGTTATTGTCCTCATTTGGGACATTGGGGGTAATTCATTATTTAACCAGTTTGGAGTTTTGGCATCACGGGGATTAAACATATATAATAGCCAATACCCCAAACAGCCTATCAAAACCATACATTTGTTTCTCATGTGAATACCAAATACCAAACTCTTGGAGAATATATTAAACAATATTCCAATATTTCATTGTAGAAGGATCCCTAGATGTTGTAGCAATTTTATCGCGAATATCATGCATGTTACGATTATGGAACTTCTCGTTCTAAAAAGGTGTTCCGACGACAAATGAAGTAAAGCACTGTTAAGGCAACCTATAGTTTGACGAAAACATGATACTTAACCATATAGATAGGTGAAAATAGGCTAACTGGTGTATTAAATGCATTCAATGAAAAACTCGATCTCCAAGTCGAGATAATACCTAGCTTTCTCAAGTTTTTTTTTCAAAATCTCCGTCTTTAGACATGAACTGATATCATCAAACTCTTTAGATATCTCATTGATGTTTAAACTATCAATATTGACTGAGATAATAACTAATAAATAAGTTCATTATCAACCCTTTATCGAGCACACAATGGTACATATTATTCCTTCTTAATGAGGATAATCACTACTAGAAAACTACCCTTATTGCGACGGACAAACATTGTGACGGACAAATACGTCGCAATAGATGACTTTTTGCGACTGAAATAGCGACAATCTTGCGACAAACATATTGCTCTTGTAAAATATTAGATTTAGAGCTATTGCGACAATATTTATGACGATATTGCGACAAACGTACGACGCGATTGAGATGTTGGTAAAAAAATAGAATAAAATGTCTTAGTGGGAAATCTATTTTTGGCGGGAAAACTTGCGACGTACAATATTTCGTCGTAGTTACTTTGGCGGGAAATTATTTTTCATTTATAGCTTTGCGACGTACTAGTTCCGTCGCAATTGTTCGTCGCAAGATTTATTTAGTTTAGTACATTGTATAGATGAGTAATTACGACAAGTTTCGACGAACTTGCGACATACATAAATAATAATTTTAATATATTTTAAATTTCTTTTATTATTAACTAAATGAAAATGTATAAATGTATAAAGAAAGAAAATAATATATGTATATATATATATATATATATATATATATATATATATTGGTGTATCAAGCTAATAAAAAATGGATTTAGAGCTATTGCGATGACATTTACGATGATATTGCGACAGACATACGACATAATTGAGATGTTGAAAAGTACAACAAAAATGTTTTAGCGGGAAATTTTTTTGGGCGGGAAAACTTGTGACGTACAATATTCCGTCGCAATTCCTTTGGCGGGAAATTATTTTTTTCATTGGTAGCTTTGCGACATACTAGTTTTGTAGCAATTTTTTCGACGCAAGAACTATTTTATTTATTAAATTGTGTAGATGAGTAGTTACGATAAACATTTCAATGAACCCGTGACATACATAAATAATATTTTTAATATACTTAAAATTTGAGTTATTATTAATTATTTCACAATATATAAATATATAAAGAAAAGTATATATATATATATATATATATATATATATATATATATATATATATATATATATATATATATATATATATATATATAATGATTCTTACTTATTATTTTTCATTGAATTGGCGCAAAAGTGGCTGATATATATAATGATTCTTAATTTTATTTCTCATTACCGCAAAATATCTGGCGGTCTATCTCTTCACAGTCCACAGCCCTAGCTCTGTGTGTCTTCTTCAAACTCTGTCTGGAAGTTTCACTATACCCATCTGCTCTCTTCAAACTCTTGCTTTCTCTTCCACACGCCACAGCCCTACCTTCTGCTTCAGCTCGGAGAGAGGATATACCTAGCGCCTCACCCTCTGTATTCCAACTGCTCAACAGGTGAAACAATGAACTACATCTCTTTCTTAGTTTACTTGTGTTTACTGTATGTATATCTTGTGTTTTTTAAGCATCTCATAGTAGTTCTCTACTGTTCTCAAATTTCTAAATATAAAATATAAAGCCAAGAAATGAGAAGATACTTCATCCCCATAACTATTCCCTTTATATTTTGAGAATGGGTTGGGATAATTTTTCCGAATTGTAGCCGAAAATTACTAAGTTGAGTACAACCCTTATTTTATTACAAGCTTTGGGACTGGATTTTTAAAAGATGGGAAGGTGAGTACAAATGTGGACAAGTACAAGCCAGAAAGATGAGTAAAAGAATAAATAAGAATAAATAAAACAAGAATCAATTTGAAAAATAAAAAACATGAATTATGAGCAAATATTTATTTAATGTTTAACCAATTTGAGGCTTTCTTGTTGAATATGGTTGAACTCATAACATATCCTCACTTGCCTACTGATCTTTTTCAGATGCACATCTCATACCTGTTGAGTTGCCAGAGATGTAATCCTTGATTAGCAGGTATATTTAACACTGCTTTACAATGTCTTGAATGTCGTTAATTTCTGTCTTTTATATAGATATCATCTCTAAGCTATTTGTATTTATTTAATATTTGTATGAAGGAATGTTCCTGAATAATATTGCTATTTAGTTTCAAGAAAAGAAAATGGTTAATTCTAGATTTCAATACTTTAAGGTTTGGATTACTTCATTTTAAGTTTTGGTTTATTAGAGAGTTCTATTAGAATTTAATGTGGTGCAATAAAGTTAATTCTTGCTTTGCTTACTTTTTTATTGTTAGCTTTGCTTTCCTTTGTAGCATTTCTCTTTGCCTCTCTAAGAGCTTGCATCTTCTCTTCCCTGCACAAAGTTTAACAGTTTTATGGCATATCGAACAAGAATGTAACTGCAATTCCTTTCTCTTCCCTGCACAAAATTTAACAGTTTTTTTTTTCTTTTGTATTTGTTTTAGATCCCCATTATAACTGTAATTTACATGTGCATGCATTTTCTTTTCCTATCAACCTATTCATCCAACTCTTTCCTAGACATACAAATGTAAACAGAAACAGGAAAATGTAAAGGTTATCAATTAGTAGAGGAAGGGATGCTATTAGTAGAGGAAGAAAAAATGCATGCACTAAGGCTGACATTAACCCCTATGATCCAAATGCTAACTGGGAAAAAGTAAAAGAGCATAGAGAAAGTTGGATCCCGCAACCAGTTTGGAATCATTTTGTGGACAATATTTGGTCCAAAGAGGAATGGATGAAGAAATCTGCTAAGGCTGCAAAAAATCGCAACACACTAAAGGAAGGAAGTGTCACCAAACATACTGCTGGTTCATGTTCTTTTGTTAAACATAAGCATAAGATGGTATGATGTTTTTTTACTATTTTATAATACTTGTCATTTTAACTAATTTTTTTTATGCTAATAATAAATTGTTTTAATAATTGCTAGGCTAAATCACTAGGACGAGAACCATCCCAACTAGAAATCTTCAATGCAACTCATACTCGTAAGAAAGATGGTGGCCAATTTGTGGATGGAAAATCAAAATCTGTCAGTGTAAGTATTAGAAGTATTATTCTTCTTATTAGTTACTTAAGTTTTTTTTTATATGGTTATATGAGGCTTATATTAGTTTCTAATTTTATAAATAAAAAAATATGGTGTAGGAGAAATATGACACAGCTTTGAAAGAGAAACATGGTTGTGATTCTTCTTCTCAAGTGATATTTGATGCTGATGCATGGAAATATGCAATTGGTGATATCAATCGCTCCCATTTGTATGGTTTTGGAGCTCTTGAGAACCGAAAGTCTGTTCTAGGTGAAAATTCAACCCAAAGATCCACAACTACTAATGTACCTAATGTAGCAAATGAGGCATTACAAGAGCTTTTCAAGAAATGGTTGTCAGAACAACTCCCTGGTATGTTATCTTCTTTAGGCTATCATCCTATGGATAGTGCATTTGGAGACAATGTTCCACCATCATCAAGTGGTGATAATCCAAATACTTCACAAAATGACAGTCAAGAAACCGAAAGTAATAGGGGTGGTGATTGACATGATGATAGGGATGGGGATGGACATGATGAATTGGAAGCACCATATATGATAATTTAGTATGTTGCTAATCTGGTGCAACACATAGTATTTTGTGATTATGCATGTACAAAGCTAACATCAACTTCTTTTTTTGGTTACAACTTTGACAAGCTAAACTATCCCAACATATTTTTTGGATTAGCTTGTCCATTGGGATTTATGTTTTGTATATTAGTATGATGTTAGCTAACAACTCTTAACTCCAATTTAGAGGAGGATATCAGTTAGCAACCCCATAATATTAGTGGGTTTTTTGTTGTTTTTGGACGATGAAGCCTATTTGTATTAAACTAATTATATCTATGATGAATTGAATTTACTATTTTATATTGGGTGATTCTTATTTTGTATATATGCACAAGATTTGTGACAGGAAAAGTATAAATTATACTAGTTTGAATGATGTGATTTACGACAAACATTGCGACGAACACTACGACGTAAAATATAATTATTATAATATATTATAATATTAACTACGACACAATTTACATATATTTGCGACAAAAAAATTATATTTAAAAAATTTGCATCATATTACAACGACAAACATATAACAACAATTGCGACATACGATTGGACGAATGACATTTAAAATTAATAAAATTGCGACGTACATTTCGACAAAAATTGGAAACAACGACGAATATGAGCAAGTATTTGCAACGATTGTATAATCAATTGCGGCAAAAAATTGATACAAACGACAAACTAATAAGCATAATTGCGACGAACAAAATTATCATTTGCGACACCTCGCGACAAACTAATGCGACTGATTTTGGTTACAAATTACGAAAAAATTAAATATATCGCGACAGAAATATGATCGTCGGTGATAATAATTAATTGCGACAAACAGTCGCAACTGAGCAATTGCGATTCAACCTGATGCAACGATCACGTTTTGTCGCAAAGTATGTCGCAATTTCTCTTTTGCGTCGAAATTGTGACTAATTGCGACGGAACCCGTCCGTCACTATAGCCATGTTTTTTAGTAGTGAATAACTCCATTCGCAACCCTTTAAAGAGTAAATAATGACACATAAATTCTCATTTCGGGAATTATAAATTCATTAGGGATTTCTCAAGATAAATATTAACTGCATGTCTAAATTTATTATTCTGCCAATAATATTATGTAGCGGAACTTAATGCCATTTACTATGGGAGAGTATATTTGATTAAAATCAATCAAGGGTCTTTGCATGAACCCATATGCTACAAACTCGCTTGATATCTTATCACCCCGTTATTCTTGTTTTCCTTCCACACCATTTGTAACATACAGGGTTAATACCTCATTGGTGTATGCGGAAGGAATATATTAGCGAGTTGAGCTGTGTATGCCTTTAATTGCTCTCTTTATACGTTAATCAATCTAGGCACTTCTGGCACCTAGCTTTGGATCCAGATTGTCATATAATATGAGCAATTTGAAGGCAATTGTGTTGTCGACAACTTATAACATTTCTCAAGAATTTCTCCCATATTTATAATTGTTTATGCCAATATTTGAGTCAACCAGATTCTAGACATTTCCCAGAACTATTCAGATCACATCTGGTTGTCTCGCATCCCTAGTATTATGTTTGTTTGGTGCACTGTGATTTGACTACGGTTTCTCGTCATCTGGACGAGCGCCTTCAGGACTAAATTATTCAAACTTTTCCAAGAGTTACAATGTTTATTTACTAGATCCCCTAGTATTATGATTCTTATCTCTTTTCATCGATAAATCTCCTACACTTTTAGCGTCAAGGAGTATCTGTAGATATATTTGGTCCAAGTTGGGGAAAGTATATGAGACCTAGTCACTCTTTTATGATCACTATGATCAATAAATATGTTTGGCAAATTATTTGCTAATATCGCAAATAGATTATTTTATGAACTTTGAGTTCAGTCTAACTTACATGGATTTAAATAATAAAGATGTTTTCATTCTATGAAATTTCTTGGCATTCCATTAAAAGTTAACCTATTATCTCCCCCTAATTCTGAGAAACAATCTTAATTACGTATGTAGTCAGCGTATCTATTGATCCCCTATAATGGGCTCTATGTATTTAAACAACAGACGGAGGTTTATAGCCCATAGAGATACGCTTGAGGTGGTGATATAATAAAATGGACTACATACTAAGACTAGAAACGCATATCGGGAAATGTTTAATTCTACCACGTACTATGTGTATGGGGGAATAATCATGGTATGCAGTTGGCCGGAGTTGTTTCAAATCAGCAGCATGCAATACTGCGTGTCCCCAACAAATGACTAGTAGACTGGACCGTTGCAGTAATGGTCTAGCTATTAGTTTAACTCTTTTGATAAGGGATTTAACTAGACCACTCTGGGTGTTCCACCTTAATCCCCATGGCCATAGAATAATCGTCAAAAAGCTGACGAGGTGAATTCACCAGCATTATCCATTGTCAAATTCTTAATAGGATAATTGGGGAATTGAGTATTCAATCTAATGAGTTGACTTATGAACTTTGCGAATGCCTTATTTCATGTGGACAACATGCACACATGTGTCCACCGGGTGAAAGCATCAATAAGGACCATGAAATATTGAAATGATCCAGATGAAGGATGAATTGGTCCACAAATATTACTATGTAACCTCTGCAGGAAGACGGGTGACTCAAAACCAATCTTAGGATGTGAGGGCCGAACAATAAGTTTTCTCTTTGCACAGGGAACACATGTGAAATCTTTTGTAGAAAGAATGTTTGTCCTAAGAAGGTTATGTCCAGTCGAATTTGAAAGTATCTAACTTATCATAGTTTCCCCAGGGTGACCTAAGCGGTCAAGCCATAAACCGAAAGAATATGTATCTTTAAATTTCTCCGCAAGTGCAACGCAGGAAGTTTGGGGCATGATATAAGAATAATACAGGCCTGAAGAAAAGGAAGGAAATTCTTCGATTTCCTTTTTTTCTGGTTATTTACCATTTTGGTCAAGACCAAGAATTCAGTATTGTTTTTGATTTAGTTTCAATATGAAACCCTTTGGACCGAATATCCTTAAAACTAAGTAAGGTTCTTTTATTGAGGATATAGGATGACAGTTTTGTTTATTAACTTTGTTCCGTTAAGAAGAATAAGTGAAACTCTTCCAGAGCCCACAATAAGAATCTTCTGTCTGTCAAAATAGTGTGCGTGGTTGCTCTATCTACCAAGCATAAAGCCGAAACGTCCCCCATATCTCTATAGACAAACGAGTAGTCATATCTCTATAGAGAAACGAGTAGTCAGGAAAACGAGGGATGAATATTCTATTCATAAGAAGATTTATTTAAAGAGCATAGAATATTTATTCAAAATGCACACATGCACTTAAAAGTATGAAAGAAACTGTCGCAGCCAATCCACGATTATTACATAAAAACGAGGATAGAAAGAAAAGAAAGATCATTCTTGATCTCTATAATCTTCAAGCTCATACTTCATGAGGTCATCATCAGCAGCATTAACAAGTGCATTTGCTTCTGGTAACGCAACATGATGAGACTCATCTTTAGGCCGTGTTTTGTCCCTCTTTAGTATTTACTGATATGCCTCAACCAAGTGCCTCGGGATGCGACATGTACGGGACCAGTGTCCTGTGCACCCACATCTATAGCAGGTTTGCTGCTGCCCGGAATGATTGTTGGATGAGCTTGGTTGTTCCTGATTTTTTGGCTGCCTTTGCTTGTTGCGGGATTTATGATTCTTATTGCTTCCATGTCTTCCTCCACGACTTGGACCCTTTCCACGACCTCTTCCTTGTCCTCTACCTTGGTTCCCCTTGTTGCTCGACTGGGTAATATGGTGTGCTTCAAGCACCGGTGCAGAGCCAACAGGGCGTGCATTATGGTTACGCATTAACAACTGGTTATGCTTCTCAGCTACTAGGAGGGCGGAAATCAGCTCAACATGCTAGGTATAGTTTTTGGCCCTGTACTGCTGCTGGAGTACAATACAAGGTTACTAGCATGAAATGTGGACAAAGTCTTTCCGATCAAGTCTTTGTTAGAAACCTCTAGTTTACAGAGTTTGAGCTGTGACACAATTTTATGTAATGCCGAATTATATTCAATGACAGACTTATAGTCTTGGAACCTCAAATTCAGCCAGTCATATTGTGCCTGGGGGAGGACAAGTGATATTTGTTGATCAAAACGGTCCTTGAGAGATTTCCATAAAATGTAGGGGTCCTTTTCGGTAATATATTTATTCTTAAGATCTTGATTAAGATGGTGACAGAGGAAGATGGGTGCTTTGGCCTTTTGGGCCGCATTACATGTGGAATCAGCAATAATAGTATATTGTAGCTCAGTTGATGCGGGATAGGTCTCAACATCAAGAGCCCAAGTTAAATAGTTACTCCCGTCTAAAGCCAGTTCGGTAAATTCATGCTTGGTTAATGCCTCCATGATGTTCAAAAATATTAGGATATTGTGTTATTCCAAAATTGACCCACGCACATGTTGAGAGAGAAGAAAAATAATATGCCCAATTGATTTGTGGATCAACTTAGTCAAGAAATAGGCTCATGTAGAGAATATGTCAATCCTAATTGACAAACACATTAAACCAAAAAATGATAGACAATCCTTAGGTATACTCCTAGGAAAGTTGGTCAAGACGAAGCTGGGTTAAATACCAACTCAGACAGAGTAATGTCGCAAGGGGACTAGTAGCAACGAGGCGTTTAAGCCAGGGCCATAGAACTAGTATTCTTCCTCAAGAAACTTCCTTAATTTATGTGTTCTCATATTTGAAGTATTTAAAGTAAAATCATTTGAGAGATCTAAAGATTCTCCTACGGATAAGACTTTGAATAGGGTAAACTATGAATATTTATGTACTAAATTCGCCTAAAAGGCTCTAAATCATGCATAGTAAGCAATCAGTTTAGACCTAAAAGATTCTAAAATTATTCCTAATAAACATGCTTTTCTAAAGACATAATTATAACAGTCAAATAATTATTGTAATAAACAAATATATAACATGCTTCAGATTGTGCAAATTACTCATTAATACTCCAAAATTTACATCTTATATCTGTAACCAAAATAACTTTAT